GCTATTATAAATCCTTCTTGTCTATATTAAAAAAACGTAACATAGGCGACAGGATGTATCCAGAAACCATTGTGGATCGCTGTAACTCATATGTCGGAGTCAACCTTCAGGTAGCAGATTATGAAGTCCACATACCCGCTTCTCTTGACAAAACAGTCAGGCGGGTCTATAACATACCATGCCAAAACTATGTTGTATTGTACGTTGGTGAATCCGCAAATGCGTTGGCACAGGGCTGCATGAACATCACCTTGCAACCAACCGTGAGGTTAAGCCATATATGGTATATAACCAATAACAACAAGGTAATCACATTGATTCTTTAAAAGCAAGGGAGAAAATGAGAAGATTGTCAGACTGCTGATAGACATTTGAACCTCGACTGGCACATTTAACTGTTACGTAGAAATTCATCCTGTCAACGAAGCCCTCCTTACAACGCTAACGCCCACTCAGAACGGAACATGATGTCAGGCGAAGGACATTTTGCAGAGCCGAAAGCCGGCAACTGAGTGCGATGACGGTGGGAACGATTAGGAGGCAATCAGACGACGTGACACGTCTTCCAATAAGCAAATTGATCAATGCGTGTGCATCAGGCTCGGCCATTAGAGGAGGCTAGCGGTAAGACACATCATTTCGAAGTTGGCAGAAAAATAGCCACTGCTCTTCTTCTTCTTCTGCCGGTGACGATTAAAGTCAAGGGTTCTATGCACTGTGGGAGACAAAGCTCATTTTCGTAGCTGTTTAACGCACGGTGGCTCACAACTCCTCCACAACTCCTATCAAATTTTAAGAGGAAACAGAGTACTTTAACATATTTGCATGTAGTTTACGCGCAAATTAGTGCTCAGACATACTTCGTTTGACTTCACGGTTCAGTTGCAGGAGTGCGATGTCATAGCCAGCCTTTGAAGTGTGGTGAATGAAGGAGGGATGCATAATGACACCTTTCACTCGCACGTTGTAGGTTGGACGCTGGCGCTGCGTGTGCTTATGGTCTGCGACAGTTACCGCCAAGTGTTCTCCAGTGACATCATGATAGGAGAATAGCCGACCATA